TCGTTCCTTCCTCTTCTTCTTCTTCTTCGGATGATTCAAAGTCTCCATTTTTATCAGTTTCTTCTATGTACATTAGACTATTAACATCTCCATCAAATTAAAAAATTCTGTTTATGGAATGTGTTGTGGCACGAGCTGCATATTCCTGTGAAAACCCCAATGGAAGTAAGCAAGTATTTCTGTAGATGCATTTGTATAGCCATTTTTGTCTTACGGTTTTAGGTGATCTACATAGTATTCCAATGACTGCTTTGTCCAAGATGTAAAATCCGCTCAACCATTGTAAAGTTGCTTCTATACAATACTGTCGATTACTATACCTTTTTCTTGTTATTCGTCGTAACTTTAAATAACGAAAGAAGTTTCTAAATGTACCACGTTTTACATAATCATTGCCTAGTAATATTGCAGCTAATGGCAGTGTAGATTGACTTAAACCTCTATAAGAATTTAATAAGTGTTCAACTTTATAAATTTTACAACGTTTCGTGTAACCATTTCCAGTTGAACTTTTCACCGTGTAATTGTCCAATGTATCAAACGGTATGTGCAATGTCCCAAACACATAAAAATCTGAATTATAACTCGATACAGGACAATTCAATATCCTTGCTACGGTAGCTATAGCATTATCAGCTTCGAATAAGCATTGCACATGACGAATATTCTTCTTTCTCCTAACATCTTTGAAAACTTCCTAAATATGTAAAGGAAAAAATTTCATTTTCTGTTGACAGATCGGAGAATAAGATGATGCTGTACGAACCTTTTCTCTAGATCTAGATATAACTGTTTGCAGTTTCTTATCCTCGCAACCACAATCGATCAAAGCTAATGGTACTGCATTGCACTTTATCAAATCGTCAAAAAAATCCGATACTCGTTGAGCGTATTTATCGTAATCACCGACAAAAACACAATTGCACTTGTACCAATTATATATTTGACAGCTGAATAACTAAATACATATCACGTAGCTCGAACTATTCCAAATAACGATCTGAACGATTGTTTATGAAAGTTGTTAAACCCGGAATACCCATTTTGAAACCTATTTATTAATTTACACTTTTCTTAATGTTTCATATCACAAACTAAGTTCGTTATGCGTATATCAATATTAGTTATGCATTTATACATAGGTTACATGTAACAGGTACTCAAATTTTGTGTCATTCGTTATTTTATTTGAACCAAAAGTTTGTTAAATATTATACTTTGACTACTTGGATAAATCAAAGAAATACAAGAGCTGTGCATAATGTTTTTGCATTGATCTTTACGATATTACAAACCGGTATAATAAAAATAAAATTAGATAGTATACTGATCTTGCATAATTAAGTGCATTGACGGGCGACAATACTAACGACGAATTTCCTTCCTATACATATAGGCAAATATACCATGTTCAGTTTTATTGCATAACTTGTTCCATAACAGAGATGTAAAGTGTCGCTGAATTGTTAAATATAAAAGTCGGTAACAAAACAGAGATGTAAAGTGTCTCTGAGTTGTTAAATATAAAAGTTGTTACAAAACAGTGATGTAAAGTGTCTCTGAGTTGTTAAATATAAAAGTTGTTACAAAACAGAGATGTAAAGTGTCTGTGAGTTGTTAAATATAAAAGTTGTTACAAAACAGAGATGTAAAGTGTCTCTGAATTGTTAAATATAAAAGTTGTTACAAAACAGAGATGTAAAGTGTCTCTGAGTTGTTAAATATAAAAGTTGTTCAGTTCATTGCATAAGTTGTTCCCACGAATGAGATTTTCTTGGTCTTTAAAAAGACCGGTTTTCTCCCTTGCCCGTTGCTCGTGAAACATCTTCTTGGCCGCCATCTTCGATTTTGATCGAATGTAAATCTTCAATTAAATTCTTCATCTCGATGCGGTCCGTCTTGCTTGGTGGTTGGGAGATAACTCCCGCGCGAGGGCCTCAGGGGGCTCTTATAACGTTTCAAGGTGGACGGACGATGGTCGCCCCCAGCGGACTGGCTGCTGATTGGCTCGTTGATTCTTTGGCTTGACTGCATAAAAGTGGACACAGCTGGGCAACTCTTTTCAGTACTCCTGGAACCGCCGGGGGTACTGTCACGCGTTTTTGTTTTCTGTTTCAGATATCTTCTGCGATGCTGACCAGGAAGGAAGGATCACCCTTTGGTTTTGGTATAGATACAATTAATATTAATATAACTAATGAAAATATTGTGTTTTTCTGCATTTTTATGTATATAGGTATTTTCATATTTGGGTTCTTCGTTCATCTAGTTTTATCTATATTAATTACATCGTTGGGTTGATATTTTTCAATTTATTCTATTCTATCTTCGTCTCGCTTTCATCGTTGGTTTGTTCTTTTACGATTTATTTTGTTATTCGTCTTGCGCTTCGTTGGTTTTTTAATTTTCAAAATTAATCTATAATTCAAAGTACACATCGTTGGTTTCTTTTTTTTCGAATGATTCGTTTCGTTAATTTACTTCGTTGGATTGTTCCAATTCCTTATTTCAAACTAATTTGTTATTTAGGTTTTATTATTTGTCTACATGTACACATAACTACTAATTTTTATTTCAGTTTTTTACCAGATCAATTTCTAGGAGGAGGAGGAGATCAATAGATGACGTCGGATTCATCGGGATTTACACGTAAGCGATTAATTTTAAGGCGCAGCGCGAATGTAAAAATTAACGTCGAATTTTTCTTTTTCCTTCTTTTCCTTGTTTTTCCGATGTTTCCTATATTTCATTAATTCACATTAATTCTCAATTCCACCTACGACGTTAATTTTCAATTTACATTGTATATTATTTTATTTACTGCGTAGATTGCCAAGTAATGAATTAATTAATAGCTTATTTTCCAGTCTCGTTTCCCCGTTTCTAGCTCCGGTCACCGCTGCTTTGATGTAAAAAGCAAGTGATCGGCCGTTTAGATGGTTCGAAGGGTCGGTTGCCGTCCTCTGGTGAGACAATTCTAGGGAAAGAGTCATCGGCCGTAGAGGGGACCTGTTCCTGTCTGCGGTAGCCCCGACTCAGGATCTCTCTCCTGTGTAAGACGTCCCGGGTTGGGTCCTACGGGCTCCCAGCAGGGCGCGTTGGAGAAATGGGGAACCCGTGTCTGGTGCGTCGATTCTCCTCCCCTTCAATTGGACTTGCTAAGAGGTAACGAGCTGCCCCTTTTGACCCGCTATTCGGTACGTGTCGCACCTCATGTTCCTACTGCACTGTGCAGCATTGTGTCGCGTTTCGTCGTGTCGCGTCTCCCACAATTTCGCTTCATCCTTTGTTTTAGAAAAGTAATTACTTGGCATCTTTTTTTTTGCGTAATCTAGTTTCTAAGTGTGTAAAAAGGAAGGTCGATCGAACTTTGTTCCATCGATCTCACTTTGGGTCTCCAATCGCAGCAACCTCCTCGTGGTGAGACCTGGTAATCGGTGTTACCTTTCAAGAAGAACTTCTTCATTATGGGTAACACCGAGCTAATGGCTGCGAATTTAAAACAATATAAATTTCAGTTTTAATCGAAATCAAAATCAAATGTTGTCTAATACTTTTTTCTAGGTACTACTTCTAGAAAAAATTTCAATGATATAAGTTTTACTATTGTAAAAGTTATGATCGTTTGAAAATTGACAATTTTTCTGAGCATTTTGTCACTTTACGACGTTAAGGAACAACTTTTCGAGTATTCTTCGTATTCAACCACCAAGCAAGACGGACCGTATCGAGATGAAGAATTTAATTGAAGATTTACATTCGATCAAAATCGAAGATCAAGAAGATGTTTCACGAGCAGCGGCCAACGCGACAAACCGGTCTTTTTAAAGACCAAGAAAATCTCATTTGTGGGAACCACTAAACTGAACAACTTTTATATTTAACAACTCGGAGACTTTTTACATCTCTGTTATGGAACAACTTATGCAATAAAACTGAACATGGTATATTTGCCTGTATAGGCGAAAAATATACAAATACAAATTGAATTTATTGAATTGATATTAAATAAACATTCTTTGCTATAAAATCAAAAAATTATTATTTGAAATAATAGAACAATTAGGAAATAAATCGTTTGAAAATAATTTCGAAGGTCTTACTTGATAAACTATATTCAAACGATTTATTTCCAAAGTATTGTTTTATGTCAAACATGATCAGGGGGTCTTGAAACGTGTATTTACGTGTCAATTTTTCATTCAATATGGACTTTGGTTATACATATATTTGTGCCCATATAACTTGAAACGTGAAAATGTCGGGGCAGTCGAGATTCGAAATTGTATGCCATTGAGACGCGAGGACGGACTTCATTCAGCTGTTCAAGAACAAGAAGGAACGGCTCCTGTTCACGTTCTTTACCGATTTCCCGAAGTTGCATCAAGTGCTGACCTGGCGTAACATGTGGCTCGTGCGGTAGGATATGTCGGCTTTCCCCACCACTCTGTTAAAAGCTAAGGAAGTTCGTCGTTACTAGTGTCGCCGTCGATGCAGAATGTGTAAATCAAAATCAAATGTTGTCTAATACTTTTTTCTAGGTACTACTTCTAGAAAAAATTTCAATGAGATAAGTTTTACTTTATTTATTTTCAAAAATCGTATTAATAATATACATACATATGTGTGCTCATACATGGGAATAAAAAAACATTTCTTTTTTTTCAATAATTAAAATATGATCAGGAGGTCTTAAAACGTGTATTTCCGTAAAATAAATTTTACAAAATTTTTTTTTCATTATGGGTAATTTGCTTATGTGCGCCTACATAGGTCGCGAAGTAAAAATGCCTGGGCAGTCGAGAATCCAAATCGTATGCCGTTGACGGGAGGTCGGATTTCAGTTGTGTGGGAGCGAGAAGGCAAATGTGAGCCTTTCTCTCTAGACTTCCACGAAGCGGTCCGAAATTACTTCGGGCAGTTTCGGAGAATCGAGAAAGAGGGCATGCGTCAGTTTGCCTTTGTCGTCTTTCCGAAACTCTACGAGCTCACGTACGTGTATCTGGCATGTGGGAGTGTGCACCCGACGGTGCTTTTCTGGCATCACTGGTTCATGTTATTTCTTTCAAGTATTTAGTATCTGGTTTTCATGAATAAACAACAATAAATATTTATGAATTTAGGAAAACGTTATGTTTATTTATGAATAATCTATATGTACATCTATGCATCTTTAAAAGTTCTTCTGGTTTATATGCTTGCCTGCTAGATGGCTATAGTACTTGGCGGTCCATAACCTGAACGATCCCACTTAATGCCCCATCAATTCCAGCATCGTTGTTATATTTATCCCTTTTGCCTCGTTAAATGTACATTTTTTCTTAAACTAGTGCAATTCTTTCGAATCGCTTTATCGCAGTACAATTAACAACTTTCGTTTCGTGCTCGTAATCCTCTATCGATTATCAAAATATAGCAGTTGAGAATTTCAAGATTTTCAAGGCGTGTTTATGCACAATCACATAGTGTGTATCACACTGACGTGCATCCGCGAGAAGTAGGCACAATTTATATATGTATCTGTACACTTGATGCACAAGGTATGCATAGATAACCTTATTTCGTGATCGTGATATGTCATACGTATATATGCACAATGTATCGGTATTATGATACTTAGGTACGTACGTATATTCGCATTGAAAAAAAAAGTATTTTGTCTTTTTCTCGTCTTGTTTCAGCCGAATCATAATTACACAGCCCATTATATTAAACAATATAAAAATCGTTCGATGCTAGTTTTGTGTGCACTTTCGAAACCGATGCTTTTATTTCACGAAACGTTTCCGTGAATTCTTTGTCAAGATTCGTCAAGATTCAATTTGTATACTGTTTGATAATCATCAAGAGATAAAATACAAACAACGAAGGTACATGCAAAATGTTTACCATTGCTCGAAATCAGTGGATCGATATCAAACAACTATGCTGTGTTAAATGTTATGCATCGGTCTTGTAAATTTCCAAAGAAACATATTTGGCAATTTATTTGTTCAAAATGTAATACAAGAGCAGAGAATCTGCACAAGAGAGGGAGAGAGCAAAAAAGGAAAAGTGTTACAAGAATGTTTTGCGCACGATATCAGGGAATAAAGCTATAAATCGTTTTAGTTGCTTTGTCTCTTTACAACCCCGGATACATATTACTTTTGCAGAAATTATTTTTTACGCACCGAGGTACAACAGAGCGAGTACTTTGCTAAAATATGAAAGACTGAATATATATAAAATCTTCTTAAGAATGACTTGATCGCTAGGTAACTTTTATTGTCTCGTGCTTCTCGCAAAGACACCTTAAATCACAATATTTTAATATAAATATTTTGTAGGATACATACAAAACACATTTCGTAACATGATACGTCCTTTTCTCGAGGAAGATGCCTGGTGTTACTGGGTTGTATCCGTCGGAGCTTTATTGTCCTTTCTTGGTTTCATCTTTGCTTGTATCTGCAGCTGTCGTCGAAACGAGAACAAGTAATTATAACCATCAACATATCTCGATGCTCTTTAAACCGATTTTACCGTACGTATTGAAATTTGTGTAATTTTTTTGTTCTTTGTCTACATTCTTGATAAGCTAATGGATATATTTTTTTACTACGAGGGTAATAAACGGAAGAATTTGCGTGTACACTATACTATAATACCTACTAAAAGACTGTTTGAATTATATTAAAAACCAATCGATAATAGTATGCATGTATTAAGCATTTATATAAGAAAAATTTCGAATAAAGAATACGGATATGGAGATTTCACTGTACTGTGTATATAATATCGTTTACGCGGATACGTTCAGTTGTGATTCCCTTCGAACAGGAATGAATTTCTTGGGCTCGCCGGTATGGTAACGCTGAACAATACCGAAAATGAGGGCTTTGACGGGATCCCGACCACAAATATTTCTCGTATAGCGGCGCAAGATGCTATCGACAATGCAAAAAGGTTTCTATCGCCTAAGCGATCGGGCAATGCGCAACTCTTTTTCCTAACATACTTTCAAACACGATCGCAATTACAACACGATACAAACAACAACAATAATCATGTTACGTGTGAAATCTTCTGTCTTAAAACTGAAATATTTTAACGCGATGCACATAGGACAACTGGCGCGAATAGAAGTCTCCCGGATATCCCAAAAGACAAAGACAAGAGACTCGAAGACCCGGGTGAATCAGTATCTCAAGATATTTACGAAGCTACGGAAGCGATCGGCGACCAATCGGAACTCTATGCTACGGTACAGGACACAGGTGTGTTGAAGCGAAATCGGGTGCAACCCACAAATACGTCTTGATCCTTTTTTCGAATTTTCCACATTCGAGCAGTTGTTCGAAACAAGGACGAATCTGATCTAATAATAGCGTTACGTTTAACGTAGGTGTGGAAGAAGAGGTATCGGAACAGGAAATGCAACAAGTTTCGCAACAAAATGCTTCGACTCGAGAAACCTCTGTTCATCCGTATTCAAGATTTCTGTCCCCCAACTCTGATAATGGTACGGATAAGAAATTCCATTGTCAAGTGTCGTTACTTTTTAATAGATGTTCTTCCGTTAAACCTCTATAATCCGAATTATTTTTCTTTTTTTCTCTCTATCGTTCAACACTTATTCTTCTCATCCTAGTCGAACATCCGTACGCTCAACTTCAAAACGTTCAAAAGGCCGAGGCTAGTCAGTTGAATAGGTAATAGTTGAAAACTTGCAAGTATTATCTAATAATAATCAGTTTTGTTATCAGTATATCACACTAACGTTGCAGAAATAATATTAAACCAGTGACTGATACCGAGAAACCATCTACCTCGACGAGTCCAGCTGCCGGAAATCCGGTTGCTCCACCAAGAACTCGTCGATCGTCCTCCCACAATTCCCTTCTCTCCACCGACATTGCTCCGTGCGATATTCAAGCAGCCAATGCTATATCGGGCGGAATACAAGCTAATCAGGAATTACCGTATATAACGCCCCCGCTTTTGATGCTATTGCCCCAGCCGCCCCAACCTCAATCCAATAGCCCTCAACAACACTTTAGCGGCGACTCCCAAGACTCGAGTAAGTATTTTAGAAGGCAGTGTTTGCGTTCATTTCTACAATTTTACTTGCGCGATACTTAATTTATGCAAAGTGCTTTCGAACGAATTGATCTCTAATACCAAGATCTTACACTCCACAGAAGGGTACACTAGTATAAGCGTAAGAGAGCCTCTGGCCAATATAATCGCGCAAACAAAGACGTCGATCGGTCGACAGAATCAGTCCGTCCGACCCCTCACGGACCCCCATTATGCGACCGTCTCGGATGACTCTGGTAATGACTCTGGTCATAACATCTATACATCTAGTTCCGCTTTACGGTTGTTTAAGTAATTACTAGTTTCGTGTGGAAACATTACAATCAGGCTCTGTCTGTCTCTCTATTATGGTTCGCAAATACAGCGTGTTCCGTTTGCAGACGAAATGTATGCCGCGATCGACGAACAAGATAAAATCTATACCAGCGGTAGCGAGACGTACGCTCAAATACAACCGACGATGACGGAGGTTCAACGAGCCGTACAAACCGAGCAAACGTTATATTCGCGAGCTCCGTCCCGTTCAGACGAAGTTCATCCTGCTCCACAGCCTCCGAGCGTCGACAGTTTACGGCACGTGGCGCACGCTCATTCGAGACAAGGTAACCTAGTAATCGTTCACACGAGAGCTGTTTATTTCTTTATGCACGGCGGCACTTTTCATCATTTCCGTCACGAAATATTCACACGGTCTCGTATTGGCTGTAGCTTCGTCCTCGAGTGCCAACAGTTCCATCATGAACCCTGGCTCACCGAAACCGGAGAAACGCCAAGCTAATTCACCATTGCCGCCGCCACCGGAAATCACGACCGAGATGTATGCGTCGATCGAGAAGAGGACGAAACCCGAGGATCGATCCAAGCCGATTTTGTCCAATGGAAAATCGTTGGAGGACATGTACGCTAAAGTGATGAAGAAAAAGAAAGACGCGGAAGAGCAAAGCGACGCGCAGTCGAGCCTGCATCTCGCCGAAATTGTCGCCGTTTCGAGCAGGAAGCTGAGCCTCGTCGAGATAAACAGAACTTCATGGTCTAGTCATGATTCTACAGAGATACAAAAGAAGGAGCTCGACTCTACGCATTACTCCGCATCGAACAGTTCTATAGGGAACCTTGACCTGGAAATGGACGTTACAAAATTAGCCAGAATCGTATGCGACGACGTGGACGCGGATATGGACGCGAATACGAGTCCCGATGCGTCGAAAAACTCGGGGTTCGATCATGGTTACGAGGCCGTTAGTTCCGAAATTGCCAAGAAGAACATGATGATCCGCGCGTCTTGCAACCCGAACTACGAAGTTTTGCGACCGCAACGGCTTATCGCGGAGGAGGCGGATTACAGGTCGAACAACGTCGTCTCTGCCTCGGTGCCTGCTCGAAACAGCACCGATTTAACAACAACGTATTCGATGATACCGCTGAAACATAGGCAGACGAGCAACGCCAGTAGCGAAGACCCTGGCTACGAGAAAGTGAGATTAAGAAGAAGGATTGACACAGATCTAGATACGGATTCCGAGCCAAACTACGAGAGTATGCCGCACGATTCAGGAGAGCCTAATTACGCGTCGGTTTCTCGTCCCGGTGATAGCGACACTGATCCTAATTACGAATCCGTGAATCACGGAGATCCAAATTACGAGAGCGTGAAATACATGAGCGTCGCACGACCCGAGGAACCACCGTACGAGCAAGTGAATACCTTCAAATCCGAACCGTGCTGCGTAGACGGATACGAGAAGGTGAAGAAACACTTGTTCAATGCAGATTACGAAAGGATACCGTTGCAACGTACTACGGAACCGATCGGCAACGGGGACACAGACGATGAGCAATACGTGCAAGTGTAACCGTGTGCGCCGACGACGCTACATTTTCATTTACTTTACCGGTTTACAACGACAATTACCGAAATTACACGCTTCAACGTACAACTATTCGTTCGGTTCTTCGTACATAGTTTAATGCGCGACACAAATATCGTATTTTTGTTATTGCTTACTGTTATTATCGCATGAACGCTTTGCTCGTCATTAATACGCACGCAACGCGACGTGATCCAAGGGGTCTTTTCGTTTTAAAAGTTTCAAAAAATTAGTTATAGTAGTAGTAGTAATAGTACCAAGCATCTTGGATTATTTTATACAAATCGTTTTTAAATTTAATATTATAAGTATATACATATACATATACATAGGGTTGGGTCTGGTGAGTGTGCCGGCCAACAATAAATACCTAATTATCTAACATATATTTTCGAGTAGAAGGAATTAAATGTTTGTCCACACAGTGTAGTACAATATTTCGATCACAAAGTATCACAATATTCTTTATAAATAAGAATTTGTCAACTTTTCCAGGCACTTTATACTTTTAGAAAATGCGATCACAAAAAATTCAATTTTTTGGAACATTGAATGTGAGAAGACCCTTTAAATACGACGAAAACAAACTACGCTTTTGAACAAATTCAGAATGGTTTGCGCTTTTGCGATTATTCTTATTTGAAACAATATGCTTTCCGCCTTTTTGCAAGCGTATAATATTTAAAGTTACCAGTTTGTTAATAAAATTTTCTACTTTTCGTAATACCGTGCGATCGTGTTCTTTTATTCGCATACTCGGTGTTGATTATTTCATTGTCGGACTGGACGATGCACAGCACATGATTTCGTTTCTTGAATAATGCCATTCTAATCTATTTCTCGATAGACATTAAAAATCTACTGATTGTAGGCGTACTGCGACCAAGTTTCTTACGTTAAATGTTCTTGCGAATGACGATTCTTTCTAACAGCAAGGGGACTCTACAGTTGTTCCACCGAAAATTTCCATGATATTTTTAGTGGTCGATCTAGGAGCTTGAGCTCTAGATAACATTCGCTATATAAATTAATAAAACTGATATTTGTATATTGACATTGTTGCGAAAATTGTTGGCAATAGGCAACAGTGTTTGTGTGCAACGTGAGGCCATTAAAGTATTAACAAATAAAAAGTATGTAGGATAGTTGTATTTTTCCCTTGAAACTAAGAAACTTTTGTCTTTCGACCCACAGATTGAGAAGCACCGTTCCAAAGGATGTCATTAGTCGATCTTTAAAACGTTCGGTGGGACAACTATAGTTTGGGAGAATAAATATTTACACGCATCCTATCTATTACAAATTGCCAAAGAAAGAGGAGAACGAAGGAAAAACAGAAACAGAAACGAAATCAAAATAAAATAAAGTTACTTGTATCATTCAAGTTGATATTACCTCGCACATCATCGAATAAATAATCCATTCTTACTTTTCTTTTTTTTTTTAAATAAACTCGTTAATTTTGCATCGTAATGTCTGTAGAAAAGTCTAGTTTCGCACAATTGTCGATACTATTCCGTTTAGCAAAGAAAACTATGGATAGTCGTTTAGCATTCGCATGGCACAGATACGATACGATAATAACGTACAAACAAATGTTTATTTATTCGAATCAATGTAATTATTATTTTTCATTCTCTCTCTCTCTCTCGCGCGCGCGCGCTCGAATAATCTTCGTTGCACATAGATTCGCAAGTCGTGTATATATACATATGTATATCTAAGGTTCACTTTTATGTACAGTAACTTGAAATTATACAAACATATTTGTACATGTATAAAGAAATGTCTGCGTTTCGACACGCGTAATTTCCGAAACTTACCGGTCATGTGGTATGGTTACGTACACATACAAGTTAGACGTGTGCATCCATTTTTGAGCGTAATGCATTCTTACTTAATAACATCGAATTAAAAGAAAACCATGGCAATTTTGCAACGAAATGTGCTTACTATAACCGCAAACGATTTGTATTCTTTTATACCCCATCATGAAATAGACCGTTTTTATATACAATAAAAGATAGCTTTGAAAGGAAGCACTGCCTTGTTAGGTTTTTGATAGCATTTCGAGTGCATATCAATTTAGAACACCCCCCTTTATTTCAGTTTCCTACGGTGTCTCGATGCAACGAGATAACGCAGATACGAAAACATCGTGTTATTGTGGTCGGATCGATACTGAAAACAGAACGAATACAACACACATTGCAGGCAATTTGCTTCATTTGTTTTTTTCGTTTTTCTATAATTTCTCTTCAGAAAATAAAGAATCGAAACGCTTTACGACATGTAAAACATTTTGCTCTTTCTCGGTTCGTTCGTCTCTAATTTGTCTTAACCACAAACGATGCTCTATAGTCTTTTACATAAAAGACTCGAATATAAAATCGAAGAATTTTTTTCTTTAGGTATTACAAAACGCCTACCATTAGTTTGTATTTTAGGAAAAATTAGAACCAATATTTTAATTTAACTTTCATTTTCGTAATTAGAGTCATAACAGGGTCTAGAACTGATTACTTGGACGAAGAATACACATATCTGCCGTCAGATTTTTTTGGAAAAACGAGAAACTGCGTTTAAATTTGTTTGTTTACTCGTTACCATTCGACAACAAAGAGGTAAAGGTTATGCACGCTTCATTTACATACTCGATTCGTTTCCACTATTCTACGTAAAAGTGTACGATCGTTGTTGTTAATCGCGTTCTTATCACATATGGTAATTCGTAAAAAAAAATTTAATGATTTCGGAAGAGGAAGGATCGAAGATCTGGGGAGAAGGAAGAGCAAAATCGTTCAAGACGCTTCGAAGAGGCAAGTTTCTTGGTTAGCGATTCTCTTTGAATCCTGGCACCTTAAACGCAAGATAGTTCGTTTTTTTCACAAGTCAGTCTCATCGTTGAAACTCGCTAGAATCGATTGATTGGTATCGTTCTAGGAAGATAAGTATTTTCAAAAACGACACACGCTTGTTCGATAATTTGAGAAACGTTAAGGTTAGGTTTAAAAGCAGCCTTTGGCTGTACACTTGGTCTTTATACGATTAGGCAATCATTTGTAACGACGTGTATGTAGGTACGTAAGTACACGTTCTCCTAGTATGCGGTAACAAAGATGTTAAAAACACACACACACGCACATAGGGAAGTCACATGTTCGTATTTCGTTGAGAAATTTGCGTATTGCTTTCTACTCTACATAATCCTAATTCTCCTTCAACCGGAGGTGTATTTTACGGCTTTTAGCCGGTTCTTTCTCGAGGTATGGTTTTTTTGTCTGCGCGTCTCGATCGGATCGGAAGTATTTCTACAAATACTTGAAACCAGTAAATGGTGAAAACCTGATCCAAAATATTGTATCGGATTAAAAATATGAAACTTAAACTATCACGTACAGCGTGCTCGATAACAAATGCATACCCACGCTATTACGATGGATAACACGTTTATTGTAACGTAGTGTGCGATCTAAAGGGAATCACTTTGCCAATCTTTTTAATTGCTCAAAATGCTCGATTTGAAACTCATGTATTCTTGACAGGGATGGACACGTTTAAACGATTTTATAATGAAATTTATGAATTTATTTCGGTTCTTCGTAACAGTTATAGAAAATAAAGGTTCCGTTGAATCGTTTGGTACTACAAATTAGTACTCGTCGGTCAAGTACTTTTTTAAATATATTTTGCCCATCCCTGATTCTCGATTGTATCGAATAACCGGAACTAGAACCGCAATCACATGCATATCGCCTATTGAATGTCATAAATACACGCTACGAAGATTTGTTCAAATTGCTACACCACGCTACTACGTCGATCAATTCTGAATTACACGTTTCCGTACAAGTACAGTTATCCGTTTGGTGCGGTAAAACCTGAAATATACAATTTTGTGCGATGCTTTAGCTATTCATTGGAAAACGCAGTTTTTAAACGTTCTACAAAGTGTGCCGTGTGTGTCATTTTTCGATTATTTTTTATCGAATTAACGTTAACTACGACACAAAAGTGTAATCACGCTGTACGTTTTGTATGAGCGTCCAACTACACTTTGCGACTGTTCACCCTTTCTTTTTACAGACGTACCGGAAACGTGATCCTATTTTGAAATCGTTCAAACATCACCGTACTAATACCTACACAAATTTGCTTGTCTCGCACAAACGATATTCGTGTTGTCTTATTCCTTATTTTCTTTCTTTCGACTAGGTGCACGACACTAGTATTTTTAAATTTATATTCGGAAGGTAATTTCATGTAACTCGACGCACTCGTTGACGCGATTACAATTTTAAATGGCAGCATTTACGGTCTAAGCATACACATTCGCACGAGTATTATACCGGTGTATTCACAAACAACGTGCGTAATTAAAATATCTGTCTACAAATGATCGTCAATTTGTTTAAATAGAAATTATGTTCGATGAATGGCGACAGAGGGGTTGGAATTCAGTGTTGGTAGACGGGCTGGGTTTTCGGCACATGCGCGACACACATATGTAGCCAACGTTATGGCCGCCAATATTTTGGCGGTTCCCAACCCAACAAGTAGATCGAATAAAATTAGTTTTTAAATGTATTCTCTATAATTTCTGTCAAATACAATTATTCTTTCGAGTTACATAAAACTGACGTTTCGTCTAAAGTTATTTCAACATCCTTCCTCATTGTAGCTTATCCATATATTAATATTTTATGTAAATTATTTAACATTTCATAATTGTATTTACATGGATATTAAGTACTTACTATTGGGAGACGAGAAGTCGAACCACTACCGACGAACTAACCGAAGCAAAGGGTAAGGGGACTGCCGGCTGCCCGCTATACCTGATCCCTTCCACTTTTCTTGGTCCACGGTTCTTGGTTATTATTGGCCAAGTCGATCGCGCCTTTTGTTCATCGCGTAACGAAGAACGCAACCGAACAGGGTAAAGCCGGCGTCACACGAGCGTTAAAAACAACGTTTGTAAACTTTCATAGATTTAAGCTCTTGAAACAGTTATGACGAACTTTTATTTCGAACAGTGTGACTAGAAAAATGAAACTACATCGAATTTTGAGGAGCAGAGTAAAGCAGCATGCGCCGTGCGAACTAGTGGGAGAAGCAACGAGCGTTCTTATCGGCTCGTTGGTTCCCCCACCACTTGACACGAGGCGAGGTACATTGTACTTATGTACATATCTAGAGAAGAAGGCCCCAACATCATGCTGCTTTCTCCTACCCCTCAAAAATAGGATTTCGCTTCTTTTTCTGGCTACACTGGTCTCAACATCTTATCTCCCAATATGTAGCATGTGTCTCGCTTCATCTTACCTTCGGCTGTTTGTAGAAACAGCCAACCAAGGGAACTACAAACATCCCTTTTCATTAAATTCGAACACTTTATCGACATAATTTTTTACGCGTACGTGCACCAAAAAATGTGGGCCCGTCTATCAACACTGGCTGGAATGCGTATATTCGTTTGTACACGGATATACATCGCGTTAGAAAACGATCGTACGATTCCCACCTAACACACAAAGATAATTACGCGTTCGTATCCTCAAACGACTACCTGTTGCGCATGGATGGATCGTATTCGGTACTTCTTTCGAGTTTAAGCGTAGAAAACGGTGTTACGTTACGGTGTAACTGTTCTTTTTTTTTCGCGGTAAAAAAGCATTACATCTACGTGTACAAAGTGTATCGCGTACAAGTTACGTAGTGCGCGCACATCTTTCTTCAAGACGTATACGTAGCATATAAAACCAAACAGAGGCTAGGCGAAAATCGAAACCATAAAATTACATGCCTTCGACTAACACGGTTTTCTTGGACGTGTAATGAAACTCGATAAAATATTAATATCGTTACAGTCCGTTCACGCGATACGATAATATTTGAAAACAGCGTTTACACCTTTTTACATTTTCGCCACATGTTCGGCTCTCACACATGTCTTAAAGGGATGTCGTGTGAACGGATTGTTAACTACTAAAATAATAACGATACGTAACTACATGTACAAACTTCAAGTATTGGAAAACAGAGTTACATGAAAGCGATGTATGGTGCCAGTAGGATTTGGGATTCGAGTGAAATGTAACGGCATTGGCTACGCAACAGTAACAGCGATAACAACAACAACAACAACAACAACATCATCATCAACGAATCCAATTAACTCGGCGTAAAAATATATCTCGCGTTCTTTCGAAGGAACAAGAGTTTCGAGATGTCGTTGATCACAATTACGCTGATTACCCGACGCTTTCCAACTTCCGCTTTGACCAAAAAATGGGCAAAGCGACATCTTCCACAGGGATGGGCATGCTCGAATCATTTGCAATTTAAATGCAATTAAAATATTGAACATACATATGTATTTAGTGCTTAGAAGAAACAAAAACTGCATAAAAGTTTTCTGTAGTTGGGTAGCTAATCGAGTACAATCTTATAAATTAATTATTCGTCGTTCGAATACTATTTGAAATTCGTTTTGCCCATCCCTGCTCTTCGGTCAAAATTAATATTCCGACATTGAAACCTACAAGTTACCGTGTAGAAATTCACTAATTCTCACACCACTTTTAAATTATGTCTACATTCGTGCGTGTGCACAGGTTACACGCGTTGAACGCGCGTATACAAAACTTGTACGTAATATTACAGAATGTCTATACGACACAACTGCTACCATGTACGTATATTACGCATACATACACTCGCAGACTACTATCGCTTAGGTGCGATTCAATATTTTGTTCAGAAACTACAGACTTGTACGTGAAACAAACGCATCAATGAAAAAAAAATATATATATATATACATATATATCATTTGCCCCATATGAATCAAACACGAATAATTTAACAAAATCCATACTACTATTGTTACAAGGATGCACGATACTTGATGATACACGACAGTGCATCCACATTAATGACGGTACTGATATTATACACATTAATAATATTCAAGCAATTCAATACCATAGCACTTAATGGGAAATGTCGAAAGTTATTGAGATTTTAAGCACATGGTATCGAGTTTCAATACCGATGCTTTTGGAATTAATACCGATCGACACAATAATGCACGGTTATCTTTGACTAAAAGCTTCGCGATTAATTTTCCACGATTCATTCCTCCCCTCAATCCCTTCTACTCAGCATGTTGAGTTTAACGAAATCTGGTTCAGTAGAAACGGAAAGAGAATCGGTAGAACGAAAAGAAATGAGACACGTAGTACAAGAAGATGCCGTAAGAAGATTAATAATCATGCAATAAGAGAAATTTTACATTTCGTATTTTTTATCTTACCTTTTTGAAAACGATACCAATGTTTTTTGGCGTTTCTTCTGATTAAAACAAGTCCAAACACCACATGAATTAGATTATTTTTAACTATTGTAACATACATATGTATATGTTTCTTTCACTGTTCGATATTTTTGAAAAATCATTTAAATTTCACTTCACAAATTGATATACAGGGTGTTCGGACATCCTTAGGAAAAATTTTAATGGGAGATTCTAAAGGCCAAGATAAGACGAAAATCAAGAATATCAATCTTTTGATCGAGGTTTCGCTAAAAAGTCATTCAAAAATTAAATTAAAAAATTTTAAATCGTCCTAAAAAAATTATGTTTGATGCAGGGGTCAATTACAATCATTTTTGGTGATTAGACATACCCCTGAATTTTTACGTATTTTTGAGAAAAAAAAAAATTCCTTACCGAAACTATACCGTGTGGCCAGAAATGTTTTCCCGAAATTTCATGCGTGTGTGTAAAAAAAATCGTAACTTCTGGACGGATCGAAGGATTTTAATGATTGAAAATTCAAACGATGCGTATTAATGGAGCTGTGGAGCCCCAGAAAAATGGGCTACTAAAATTTTTCCCAGGGATGACCGAACACTCTGTATAGTATTTAGGTTTTAATATTAACATAATGTAAGCACAACATATTTTCACTGCACTTTTAATTCGCCACCGTTCTATGGTAAGAAATGTTATGAAATTCGTCAGAGTCGTCTCTTTAAATTATATCACGTATGTATAGTTTAAGGTATTACATAAAGAATAAAAGGCTTTATGTTTATAGAAATTTAAATAGAAAAACTTCTATTCAAGGTGTAGCGAAGAACAAAAACTAAATTATTAAATCGTATAAAGTTTTAATTATGAGCAGTCATTGTACATATTATGTGTTATTGCATATATCAAAGCAATTAAAAGTAGTCTGATTTATGTCGTGTTTGGACTCATCATTTTAGTGAGAAGAATGCATTAGTACCATTTTTCGGATGATAATACGAAAACTGGAGAAAGTAAAATTTTATACATTGCGTGATTATGTTTTTTTTTATCATAGCGGCATCTTTTTGAAGCGTTGAAAAACGTCTCGTCTGTCGCCGTTTGACATATCCATTTCGTTTCCTCCTGTTACAATCATTCTGTTTCTTTGTCAAGCAATGTTGGAGTTCGGTTCTACAAAAAATACGCTATCCTACTCACGAAACTTTCACTGCTGAGTCTGAAATCTTATGAATGTTAATCGTGCATTACCGTATCAAGTACGTGCTGCGTATAATCGATACTTTCGTGTAGGTATCAAAACGGTTTGATACAAAATGTTACTTTACTATCTAGCATCAATAGTACCGACACGGCGCACTAATCCCATCACCATGATCCATGTTCTTATTTCAGAGCGGCGGAAATCCAAGCGAATTCGTAGAGTGTTCTGCACGGCAACTGGCATCGACGATGGCGATCGTGTCGTCGCGTCTGGTGCCCGGTGTCCGGTGTTCGACAGTGTCTAGGACGTTATCATCGTGAAAACGGTAAGTCAGTAGAAAGAGTTGAGCCAACAACGGACAGCAACGAACAGTTTCGCATAAGCGAGCACACGGTGTCACACACTGTCGAGACTACTCGCCTCCTCGACGCACGCCTGCTCCGTTTCGCTCTCGCTGGCTGGACTGGCCGATGCTTCCAGCTGATATCTCGGATTAAACTCGTCCGTTTGATCCTGATAATGATGATGCTGTTGTTGTTGCTGCTGCTGCTGCTGCTGCTGCTGCTGCTGCTGCTGTTGATGATGCTGATGCTGATGATGATGCTGATAATGCTGATGTTGATGGTGATGATGATGATGATGATGGCGATGATGGTGAAGGAGATTCTCGTGACGATAACATCGATGGGTTTCGTCTACGCGTTGACGCAAGTCGTCCAGGTGCACTGTCTGCACCCGTCTCTTGAGCTTTCGATGGTAGAAGAGGCAAACTGCCAGAGCCACCAGCACGGCGCCTGCGGCGTACCCCGCGACTTCGCCGTAGCTATCTGTTCGTACCACGGCCGTGTTACCTGAAATGCATTTCGTCTCTTTCAGCTCCAGATTCAAACGAATATCCAATCGGTCAGGTGAAAGCCTTTCTTCCGACCCCCAACCCCCATCAGAACGATCGCTGTCGTTTTTCCCTCCTTTCAGATTTCGAATCCTCTCGATTTCGAGCATTCTGCATTAATACTGGTGGCAATTTTAAAGCGCAGCTACGGGCCATTCTCGAATTATTTTCTAACAAACACACGATGCGGGATCCAGGATGTTCGTTTTCTTGTTCAATATCGACGATATGATACCACT